AGGGACGCTGTTAAGGTCCAGAACCTCAGACTCGCAAGCCGGGCCCGGGGCCCAGCGAGGTCCCAGGCAAAAGCTGGTATGTTCTCTAGCCTCATGGCCCAGCGCTCCTACCCTGACACAGGCACTTCTGTCCGGCCCTGCCGTGTCCCCTCCAACACCAATTTCCTACAGGCTGGCATCCCTTCTGAGGGTGACCGTTGCCTCAGGTCACATTCCCTAGAAGCAGAGCCCCAGAGGGGAGTTAGACATCTGGGATCTGTTGAGGGGGCACTCGGGGGAGAAGGGGGAGGGAGGAAGCAGATGGGGCAGGGAAGTCGCTAAATAAGGAAGCGGTCCCCGCCTGGCGGGAGTCTGGCTCCAGGGTTACACAGCCGGGCCTTCCTGGAGGCCAGCCTTTTGTATCCTGCTGGCAGTGGCCCCTCCCTCCTCCCATGGTGGAGGCCCTTTCCTAACCCGCTGGGTCCAGTGGTTCATGCTCTGTTGAAGGCAGTTGTCTGGAGAAAGGGGTCGCTGTGAGCCATCGGGAGCCAGCATACGCATCTCGGGAGCAGTCGGGGCTTTTTGCTGCTGTCACCGATTATCACAAATCTAGGAGGTTAAAACAACACAGAGTCACTGTCTTACAGTTCTGGAGGTTGAAAGTCCGCGGTGGGTCTCAGCGGGCTAAAACCAAGGTGTCGGGAGATACGTTTCTTTCTGGAGGCTCTAGGGGAGAGTGTATGTCCTTGCCTTCTCCAGCTTTGATAGACTGTCCACACCTTGGCCTGTGGCCCCTTCTGTGTTCAGAGTTATGATGGCAGGTACATCTTTCTCACACTGCCGTCTCCTTGGTCCTCACTGCCCCTCTTGCACCCATCTGGATGATCCTTCCGTCTCAAGGCCACCTGACTGGCGGCCTTCCTTCCGTCTGTAACTTTGATTTCCCCTTGCCATGTAACATAACATGGTTACAGGTTCTGGGGATTAGGAGGGGGACACCTCTGGGAGGCCGTTCGTCTGCCCCCGGACACCCAGTAGGGGTATCTGGGCAAGGCATCAGCAGTGTCCACCACAATCATAGAAGAAAACTTTGGTTGAAGGTCACAAGACTGGCCTCTGTTGGTTCCTTTCCATCCGGGTTCTGAGGCCAGTCACGTGATTGTCGTGACAAAGCCGATGGCTTTGTCGTGTCGCGTGGTGAGAGGCCATTTTCATTTGGAGTGGGCAAAGAGACGCCTTTCTGGTCAGTGCACAGAATGGGGAGAACGCTGACCCGTATTTTTCTCCTGCCTATTCCCATGACATAATTAGCCTTTCCCTTCCCAGATAAAACGAGGTGAGGGGGTGAGGATAGTAGAAAGACTCCATTCATGGAATCAGCCTGAAGTTGAACCCCACGCAGCCGTGTGACCTAGTGCAAGTGACTCACCTTCTCTGAACCTGTGTCCTCATTCTATACAGCTATGAAAACCTCAGGGTTTTGAATGGATTCATGAGCTGGCAGATGGGAAGCACCAGGCATCTAGAAGGTTCTCCGTAAAGGGAGCCCATTGGAGTTGGTTATCATTAGAGGAGAAAATAGTCATTACTCTCCTGAAGCAGAGAAATCTATTCACAGGATAAACCAAATCAGTTTTACAGAAAAAAGTTAAGCTTAATAGGCATAAATAGTTGGAAAAATAACGTCCACACGTTAAGAAGCCCTTTTAGGTTCACATCGAGGATTGTCTCTAATTGTCCATTTCATATTTTATAAGGGATATGGACAAGCGAGTGGGTGTCTAGACGAGTGATCGGAATGGTGAGCGGTGCGTCCAAAGAAAATCATAAGGAAGCTTTGGGATTTGGTGTGTACGAGACTTGGGATGTGCAGCTGTGTTTTAAAGTACCATGTTGGGAGAGTCAAGAGACTCATGCTATGCGGCTTTAGACGAAAGGGTTGGGAACAAGGTGCAAAGTTAAAAGGCAAGTTTCAGTGAGACTATAACCCACTTACCCAAGACACTTGACCTGTGAATGAATGGCTTCCCTTGTGAGTGCTGAGTAGTTTAACGTCTGTCAGGCGGTGGTCATCTGAAAGTCTTTTCTTACTTCCTTATCTATCTGATAGTCTTCACAATGAGATTTGAAATGTCTGAGCTTCCCGAAGAAGCCCACGTCTGTCATCGCCGAGCTCGGACCTGTCAGTGGTTTCCAATGTGGCCAGGAAGGCAGGATTCTACATTTCCCTTCACGCTTGGCCGAGACCCGGTTAAGGAGTGGGATGTTCGGAATGGGGAGGAACATCTTCCCGTCTTGCAAACAGACACACAGCGCTGTCCTCATCTTCAGAGAACCATTATCCATTCACACTCTCATTTTCTAGCCACCGTTATTCATGTTCTTCCTTAGAACAAGCCACATTTCAGAGCAGCGCTTGTATCACTCAGGGGTTTCTCAGTAACGCTGTGTAACAAACAAGTCCTCTCAAACGCCAACACTTGGAGTAGCCTTCTTTGACTCTTACTCGGGCATCTTCAGATCAGCTGGGGTTTGGCTGCCATCGCATATGCTTTTCTTCTTCTCCTACCCCTTCCTTGGACGAGTGGGCCAGCCAGGTTGTGCTGTCCTCGTGGTGAGGACAAGTGGAGGCATACAAAGTTTCTTAAAGCCTTGGATTGGCGCCATTCCACCAGAGCGTGGACCCAGCCCACACCAAGGAATGGAGAAATGCTCTCAGCCTCTAGTGGCAGGGACTTCAGAGCCACCTGGCCAGAGGCACAGGTACAGGGATGGGGGAAGAATGGGGTCCATAATCCAATCTTCCTCCGTGCTTACTTAGGGTGGCCTCTTGATTATCGAACCTCTTTTGTTTGGTAGACTGCACGAGTCTTGGGGGCTGTACCACCCTTCCATTCCATTTCTCCATCTGGAAGTGATGATTTGGATCTGACTGTGAGCATGGTGGGAGAGGGCCTCGTGTTCCATGCTCAGGACACTGAGGAAACTTGGCCTCCAACCTAGTCTGCGCGTCTGCCTGACATTCTTCCAAGTCCAGTGCATCACTTTCAATTCCGCACAAATTTGCACCAGGCCTTTTCAAGGCAGTGCTATTCATAACCCTTAAATGGGTGATGCTGTGTCTCTAGTTTAAATCTCACTGTGATGAGTGTGAAAAGACAAAGGCACATGTGTTTTGAAAATGAGTAACAAATGAGTTTGCCTCTGAAGAATGTCACAATCAATACCCTAAGGGAGGATTTAGGTACTTCTCAAGTACAGCAACAATTTTGAAGGATTGCCATCTTGAAAATCACCAAGAGATGTGCCCCATGCTGAAGAGAATTCTTACTGTACTTTTCCTTTATTAGAATTAAATTTATATTGTAGCTGCCATTTTATCTTGAAAAAGACAGAGGGGTGCCTGGTGGCTCAGTCGGTGAAGCGTCCTACTCTTGGTTTCCGTTCAGGTCATGATCTCATAGTTCGTGAGATTCAGCCCAACCTCAGGCTCTGCGCTGACAGCACAGAGCCTGCTTGGGATTCTCTCTCTCCCTCTCTTTCTGCCCCTCTTCTGGTTGTGCTCTCTCTCTCTCTCTCTCTCTC